ATATTCATGTCCAGATTAACTTTTATTCATGTCCACTCAGATTAACATTCATGTCCACTCTGCCTAACATTAAATCCCTTCAGCCTAAATAAAAGTTCAAACGTCTGCTAGGAGATGAAAAATCCTGTATTACTATAATATATGAAAAGTAGGCTCGAGATAGACCTGCTGAAGATGAACCTCTTAAAAAAGGACAACATATTAAAAAAGTGGATCCAGATTTTACAGACTCTAATATTATCAGTGATAGTGGTGAATCGGTAAGTAATTCACAGGTAATTTTTGATGATGGTAAGGATCGTAAAAGGAAACGATCGTCTGATATTAATCTTCTCTTATTATATATAATCTTTTTTCATTTATAGAATGATCCAACTAGTGCATTAACTGCATCATCTTATTCTCCGTCTGATTTGAAACATTCACTGTGTGGATTTACATGGCTATTTGATAATTGTGAACTGAAAAGAAACGATACACCACCAACACCATCACCAATCCTCAATTCGTCAATCCAACAACTTTTTGAAGAAGCTCAACAGCTGGTTAATGAAAATCACCTCTTCCTGTTCAACTTGACAAGTCGACTACAAGCCTCCGTAATATTTAAATCATCCTCGACCATTGGTACCATCCCCGTTCACTCATACACTATGAACTTTCCGAATCAATATATGCCAACATTCGTATTTTGCAAAGATCTATTCAACAAGAGCAACTGTACTCACCACCCAATGGCAGCACCAGTATTGAAGAGTTTACACTCAATAATATCCTCACAAGCATTTACACATTCCATGATCATCCTTTGATTCAATCAATTCATTCCGAAATTCATTTAATTGCTACCTCTGTATCTTTATTTATGGGTCCATTCTTTTCTGCCCATGATCCAGTTCAATTAGGTTAGGATGTAACATCTTGGATATATAAACAACAAAACGAAGTGAACCCAAACAAATTACGACCTGACATTGTTCTAAATATCGAAGGCGAAAATGGTGTGATCGAAATTGGATGTGGTGAGGTGAAGAAAGACGATGCTGACTACTATCACAAAGAAGAAGCAAAAATTCGTGTCCTGGAGATTATGAAATGGCAATTACATTTACGATTAAAATCAGCCAAGAAAGAATACCAAGGTGTCACGTTTGGCTTTGTATTTACTGGTATGAACAGTGTGTGGTGTAATGCATATATGCAGGTACAAAAGTTACATTATTAGAGATGAAGTTAGATTTGGAGCATGGGGCGTATATTTATGAAGAATACCCATGTTTTACATTACCTACAACGTACAACACACACACTCACTTAGGGGACAAGTCGGAATTGATGCAATTTTACTATTATCTATTAACAAAATAAATACAATAGAAATTGAAAAAATAGTATAATAAAAAATAGACATTGATAATATAAATATCGAATTTAAAAATAAATTAAATGATGAAGTTAATAAATTAATAGTTAATAATTGGAATTTCTTACAGGATCCTTGGCCTGAAATAAAAAATAGATTTAATCTTCGTATAAAAATAAAAGATATAAAAAGTAATGAAATTATGAAAGGAATAAAAAATGAACTATTAGAAATATTAGGATATATTCCTGTTTATTATTTTTTAACTAAATTATATACTAACCGAGAATATCTAAGACCTTATCGTGAAGTAGAAAAAGGATTAATTTTACTATATTATATAGTATCTGGTAGAACAGGACCTGAAATGGTAAATATAAGTCCATACACATCTTTTAATGTTTTAGATAAGGATTTTTGGATAAATAAGTATAATAATATTAATAAATAAGTAAAAAATGATTTAGAAAATTTATTTTCAAATATAAAAATTAGAATTTTAGCAGCAAATACATATAATCCAAATGGATTTGAAAATGTAACTTTATATATTGATGGTCATGATAGTAAAATAAAATACTATAATCTAAATGAAAGTAAAAGTGTATTGTATTTATATAAATTAAAGGGACCTGGTTTAAGAACTCAAATAATAGTAGATATTAATAAAAGTATTATATATATTTCAAATAGTGAAAAATGTGCAAAGGGTAATGATGGAACTATGTTCCTTAATATGAAACTATATAAAAATATAAATAATCAAGATTGTATTGGAATAGATGGTGGATATAATCTATTTGTTGAAAAACTTATAGAAAATGCAAATGAATATGGTTATGATTTTAGTCATAATAATTTTGTTTATCCAATAAGAAAAGAGGTTAATAAAAATTTAACTGTTAATGAGTTAAATTATAATAGTAAATTTGGCTCATTTAGATCTGAAATTGAAAGTCAATTTTCTATATTAGCATCAAAATCTAATAGATTTAATAATAATAAAGCAGCATTATAAATGTCTGATAAAAAATATTATAATCTTCAATTCTGCATTGCATATTTATTAAAGAATATTTATAACTTTTGTGAAAGTTATAATATAGAAGTTCAATCTCATCATATGGCATGGTATGGTGATAGATTTGAATTTCCTACAAAAATAAATAAAATTAATTTAGTTTTTAGTAGTGAACAAAAAGTAAATAAACAATATAAAGAATTGAGAGAATTACAATCTAAAATTTTAAATTCAAATATTGAAGATATTGAAAAGGATATAGAAAAAAATATAGATAATAATGAATTTTCAATAAATAATGTACCTAAGAAAAGAAAACGTAACCAACAAAAGAATAATGATAATATATTTCAGGTAGAAAAAATAATAGATCATATGGTTGATAATAATAATAAATTAATATTTTATATAAAATGGCTTAGTTATAGTGATGATGAAAATACCTGGGTAAAACAAAATGATTTTAATACAAAAGATATTGTTAATGATTATATGAAAGAAAAAAATCTTTAAATAAAAAAATAGTATAGTCTACCCTATATATTTAAAGAGGATAAATCCTCTTTTTTTTATAAATATAATGAGTTACATCTGTATGAGTTATTGCATTATTCTATTAATAATATCAGTAAAACTAAGAATCCCTCCATTGCATATATATATTCTTTTAATTTTTTTAATTTTTGTGATTTTTTTAGTATTATTTCTTTTTTTTTCTGCTTTTTTTATTAGTGTTTTATTTTTTTTTTCTCTTTTTTTCATATATGTAGCTTACTATGTTGACAGCATAGAAAGTCAGGTTTATTATTACCAATGTTTGTCTTAATCTTTTTATGACACATGCGACCCTCTTTTTTTCCTCTTCTATGTATATAGGTACATACATTTGGACTAGTATTCATATACCAAAAATAGTTAGTTTTTGTTTCATCTATTTTTTCTTTTATTATAGGATTTTTCATCTCCTAGCGGACGTTTGAACTTTTATTTAGGCAGAAGGGATTTAATTTTAGGCAGAGTGGACATGAATGTTAATCCGAGTGGACATGAATGAAAATCGAGCTGGACATGAATGAAAATTGATCTGGACATGAATGAAAATCGAGCTAGACATGAATGAAAATCGAGCTGAACATGAATGAAAATTGAGCTGGACATGAATGAAAATCGATCTAGACATGAATGAAAATCGAGCTGGACTTGAATGAAAATCGAGCTGGACATGAATAAAGATCGAGCTGGACATGAGTATAAAACGATCTGGACATGAATATAAATTGACCTGGACACGAATATAAATCGATCTGGACATGAGTAAAATCAATCTGGACAAGATAAAAATCAATCTGTTACTGAATGAAAATCATTCTGGACAAGAATAATAATCAATCTAAACATGAATAATAGACAACCTGGACATAATAACAGTCAACTAAGACATAATAAAAGTTGAAGTAGATAATATATTAAGTGTTGTAGCAGAGCAGAATATTTGAGTATCTAAGATTTTCAATTCAAGTCAAGACATTATAGATGTTAAGCAGTACAAAGCCAATGTCACGATATAGTAGTATGGCTGTTTCACTCATGACAAGAAGCTTGTAGGCTAATGTACAGGAAATGGTAAGGGTACGTCAGAGACTCACTGTGTGCATAAGCTTATTTTGCTGCTATGGGAACAGGGCCTGAGCGTTTCCCCTCATTTCATTTTACCCGGGTTGAGTTTGAAACAAATTGGAGGCTGGTGGCAGAGGTAGGTGGAAAGTGTGGGGTTTGTTAGCAGCAGCAGGGAGGAAAAAAACAACAACCAAAGATCCTTTTTTTTCTCATTACCATTTGCCACGGCAAATCAACAGCTTCGACGCACTGCTCGATAATGACATGACGGAGATTTTATGGTTGTAATAGTGTTCAGCGTAAACAACACCTTGCAACTTGTTCACCCTCATTAGCAATTCGGTCCTTCTGGTCTTTTCGTGTTGCCTTGGGAATGGAGTGGTTCGAGCCACCTTGAACTTCCTTCTTCGCAAAAATGATGGTTTAGTTGGATGGTTCGTCTTAGGTGCTTTGCGGGGGTAGCTGTTTCGTGGTTGCGGACATGCAATGGAGATATGTCCTTTGTGAGCAGGACCGGGACAATCTTTGATAATGCAATCCTGAGCGTGGCAATATCTGCAATAATCACCCATCGATTGCCAGGTACTATAGAAAACGCGATTATGATAGTGAAGGGCGCCGAAATCAATACAATGCGTTAGAGTTTCGTATCGTTCTTAATGGTTATCCTTGTTGGGCAACATGAATACAGCAAAGCCTTTGCCTTGGAACCATCCGCCTTCCACGGACCGGTACAGGCCTAAGTGCTATACGTGTCTAAATTTAGATAGAGCCATTCTCAGTTTAAGCACAAGGTCACCAGATTTCAAACCGGTTGGTAGGCAACTTTGTGAGTCGTTATTCAGGAGGTAGAGAACGAACAGCCTGTTAGGGATGCCCTGCAATATCAGAGCCACGAAGACAGGAATATAGACATGAGCGGTCAAGTCTTTTTGTTTTCTGGTTCCTTTTTCTTTGTTTTTCTTTCCAATAGCCATTCGTTTTTCATCATATTATATCATGGCAGCCATCATATCTCTCAAAAGTTGTTGTTACATTTGTCATCGCCCATTTGCTGAATCAAAAAAGTTAAGAAATCATCTATTTACTCTTCACAGTGTTGATGTTGAGCCTCGTCCTCATGGCAAAAGTCGTTACAACACTGAACACTACGTATACGTTAAAAAGAACTCGGACGCGTCACATTCAATGATATTGGAACATTTTGAATGCCCATCATGCCTCAATCACTACGCTACCATGAACGAGTTAAAGGATCATATTGCTTCGCACTATAGAAAGAAACAGCAATATGGTGAAAAAAGGAACGCTTCAACAAGCGATAAACAACAAAAGCAAGTAAGCGAGCAAATTTAATGGCATTTGATTATATCCTTCTCTACAGATTTTTTTCTCACTCTATGCTTTCCATCTATTACATAGCCAGCAGATGCAGACGACGATACTGTTTCCAACAAGGTAGCATAAAATGCACCTGTTTTTTTTTTAAAAAAAACCGAGACTTAATTCAGTTCTACTTTTTAGAAGAAAAAATTATCGTGTTATGAAGGTGATTGTGATTCTCTCCACGAAATACTTTATTTTTGTAGGGCGGGGAAGCCCCCAGTCGGGGTTCAGTTTATTAAAGTGTGCAATTATCAGTAACTGCCAATAACGTTAAAGATACATAGTGTACAGGATGAAGTGACTAAGACACGCCGATGTGCTTTAACTACGGACCAATCAAGAGTACCAGGGAGGACCATGCATATCTTGTCATAGCGATTTCCCACGAAGTGACGACCCACAACAGGACAGCAGCGAGGGACAACAAGCAGCCGGATTCGAACTGACAACCTCTTGGACAGAAGTTACCTGCCTTGAACGAGTCAACCAGGGCCTGTGCTCTCTCTATGAGATACAAGAATCACTGGAATCCAGTTATGAAGATAAATTTAAAGTCAGTTTATGATCGTTGCTTTATTTGTGGGCGTTTCGTCTGGTAAGTTTTTGATTGGTCGTTAACTGGTCGTTCAGTCGCATTACTCACTTCATCTTCAGTATGAATCAAAGCCAGTCGACGGGATTGATACAGCTGTTGAAAAGAAGCTTGTGGATTTAGTATCTCCCTCCGATATTTTAAACAGAATGTCAGCCAGTATTATGCAGCAATGGCAATCAGGATATGATTTAGATGAGAGACTCAAGGAATCATTAAGGTACTGTACCGGTACAGAAGAGATATTAATACAGAAATATCTGTTTCAACTATTAATTTTCACATTTTTTATTTTCATGGGACAACCTCTCCCTTTCTTTGACCGTCAACACAATGATGGTTGGGAATCCACTGAAACCTCTCTTCGATCTGGGAACATGGAACATTTTTAGGACTGTTGGTGACGTCGATGGTATTGATGTGCTGCCAAAAATGGTCGATGAGCTTGTGATGGATATTGAAAAGGTAAGGAAAAAGTGCACTCATATACAACAATCAGTCAAAAGTAATTGAATTTTTTCTATTTGAAAATACATGTAGGCATTAATGGAAGATGGCATCCTATCCTATATCAGGCAACTAACAAAATTGAAATCAGATTTTGTCAATGACTCTATTGATTCCATTATGATTCAAGTCATTGATATATATGAGTTTGTGTATGATTTAGCTTAAACAAAATGAAAAATCACCAAAGTACTTGTGTTAATGAACACCCTTTTTGATTTCTATTTAGCATCCGCCACATTAAAAAATGGGAGACAGGGGGACATCTAACTCCAATTAGATATTAGATAATACTATTGGCTGTAAAAATCCAAATTGTACAAAAAATTGAATTTTGTATATATATAGAAACAATTGGTAAGAAAGGAATACCAGGTATGAATTCACATTATGTTATATACCAGTTGAAGAAAATATTGTAAATATTACTGAATTTATAGCAAAATATTTATTATTAGAATATGTTCATCAAAAAATTGTATTTAGTATATAAAAGTGATAAAATTTATGATGGTGAGCATTATATTGTAAAGAAGCATATTAAAATTAACAAGTTGAAAATTAGAAATATTATATATGATCCTATATTTATTGCATATAAGCTAATTAAATTTAATCATTATAAGAATTTATTTAAAATAGTAGATCTGATTTTATTTATGAATATCATTAAAAAGATATTGAATGAAAAAGAATATATTGAAATTGATGAGCAAGATATTGAAGGATTTTTCAAAAATGATGATGAATTGTATATTGTAAATGGTAATGAATATAGGTTTCGAGAGCATTTAATAGAAATGTTATTAGAAAACTATTAATTTATACTAAGAAATAAATTTTAAGCTCAATTACTTTTTTGACAAAAATTGAATTTTTGTATTTGAAAAAAGAAATTGTTTCAAAGATTCAATCAAAATGGTTGCATTAAATGAATTCCTCCCAATCAACTATATCCAATTACGTAATAATCTTAACAAAGAATTAGATGTATTTATGGAAAATGAATTGGACTCTTACATTAATAAAAATATTGTAGAAAAATTAAAAATGAAATTACAAAATAAAATAAAGTCATTGTTTTCAACAGACTACTTTTTATACTTGAGCATGAATAATGATTTTTGTACCTATAAATTTAAAAAAGGAAAACGTGATGGTCAGTTGTGTGGTAGAAATATCAGAACAAATTTACCTGATGGTAAAAAGGATTACCTTTGCCGTCAACATAGTAAGCTTCATATTCCTAAAAATAAAAAACTTGTTGTTTATAAATCTAATAACACTGAAGATGAGAAAATTGAAAAAAAAGAAAACAAGAAAAAGAAAAAAACTAAACCTATTAAAATTATTACAGGAAACCCATTTTATTTATGTTTCAATTCAATCATTCCTTAAATATAATCAATATTTATAAATAATATGGTATTAATGATATATTACCCAGAGTATGCAATTTTTTAATATACCAAGATTATGATTATTGATATATTCCTTCAATAAATCCTTTTGATTAAATTTATCAATTAATAACCAACTGTTATCATCAGCACTATATCCAGCCCATTTTACTTCAAACAAATATGTACCATTTTAGTTTTATGCCTAATAATCTCTTCTATTTCATATGATGCTATTGCTCATTGTTTCCCTTTATTTCGCTTTCTTTTTTTACCACACTTATTAAATCTTGGAACATCATCATTATCACTATTACTCTGATTTGAATTATTATCAGATTCATTATCAACAATCATTTCTTCATTTGATATAGCCATATTAAGCAGGTCATTTTGCAATCTGATCATTTTATCCAGTTTATCTTTATTTTGTTTATTATTGCTGACCACTATATCAATTAGTTTATGCTCTACTAAAAAATCAAAATCATTACTGTGCCATAGTTTATAGTGTGGTAAAATAGGAATATTGAACATTTCTACAAATTTTGTAATATTTTCTAATAAACAAGCCACACAAAATTGCAGATTATAGTATTTTATGTTATCTATCTAACAACTGACTTGTTATTATTGAATCGGCAAAATTTATTCCCAATTTCTGAAAATTGATTCTCAACTTTTGTCCTAAAACTTCCAAATGTTTTATTAAAATGATCTTCAGTAATCATTAAGGGCTCATTTACATTTTTACGTATAGGGTATACAAAATTATCATGGCTAAAGTTATATCCTTTTTCATTAGCAAGCTCTGTAAATTGTGTGATAAGAAAAGTATATCCACCATCAACTGCCATTATGTCATTCTCATGCATATATTTAAATAATTTCATGTTTAAAAACATGCTACCATCTGAGCTATCAGAACAAAGTCACTTTTAAAAGTATAAATAATTATATCATTCATAGGGGACCGGCCATGGTTATGATGATCTTAATGCGATCTAGTAACCCTAGATGACTTATTAGCTAAGATATATCAGGATAGCCAAATTAATTTTTATTGAAATAATTCATGCAGGAATGTCTTGGCATGCATACATTTAAATTTTTAAAATTGAATTTTTTTTAATATAAAAATAATACCACAGAATATAAAGCAAAATATATTTGTTATATTTTTTATTTTTATTACTTCAACAATCAACATGAACCAACTCAACCTTCTTGCATTCTTAGCCATTATGGCTGAATTTGTTCCTATTTAGGAATTACATTGACACTCTTAATTGAAAGAGCAAAACACCTTGCTGAAAACCATCAGCATATTGAGTATGAACCTCTTGTCACACAACTGAGGTCAGAACTCGAAAAAGACCTTACACAGACTAAAGTAGATAAAAAAACTAAAGCTAATGCATGCAATAAAATAATTGGAAGAATTCGAGAATATGTGAGATTCCTCAAATCCTCAACTCCTCAATTTTCCGATGCAATAATGTTAGAGGGTAACACCTCTGGTGCATATTCCTCACAGGGCGGCAAAGAATTCCGATTCTAAAACACTAAAGGGCTGTTCACATATATTTGTAAGGACTTCCATTTAACAAAAGAACAAATCATGGAATGGTTTATAAAACATGAACGTATTGGTTATCGAATTGAAAAGGCAATTGCATGTGATGAAATTGCACCAGAAACCAACGAGAAACATGTATACATATGGATACAAATGGATGAGCGGTTCGACACAAAAACAGCACGAAAATTCTTTACTATTGATGGTGTTACTCCAAATATTGAACCAGGTGGTAATCCACAAAAGTCTATTAGCTATTGTATGAAAGGAAAAGATTATATTTATTATAATAATCCAAATTATGAAATTAAAACCAGAAAAATGCACCAACAGTTACTTGGATATCAATTAATTACTAAGCAGCTTAATATGCAGAAGGCTACCGAAATATATCCAGAATTGCTATGGAAATATAATACTGTAGAATCAAATTTAAATTCTTACTTTCATGATGCCGATATGGAAAATAACCCTGGAAATAAATTACATATGTGGTCTATGTTTGGTATTGAAACAATGTTTGGTGGTAAAAATAAGATACCACAATACTGGATTGTAGGTCCATCAAATGTAGGTAAGATATATAACATTGATGTATTAGAACAAGGTGGTCATCGAGCATATCTAATGAATAAAGAAAATGATTGGTCAGATTATAAGGATGATGATTATGATTTTATGTATAATGAAGAAACAGGTTCTGATTTCAAATTAACATTTTTAAACCAAATGTTAGAAGGAACACAGTTAAAACTTAATAGCAAATTCACAAAGTCAATAACTAAAAAGAAAAAATGAGAAGTTTTGTTGTCTGACAGATATGTCTTTAACTCCATCAATGAAAACTAGAACTTCAACTTTGGTAGCCAAGAAAATGATAGTCAAGTTATATTTTCATCACTTTTTATTTTTTATTTTTGCAAAAGGAGACCAGCTGGAAAAACTCAGTATTACTGTAATATATGAAAAATAGGCTCGAGATAGACCTGCTGAAGATGAACCTCTTAAAAAACGACAACATATTAAAAAAGTGGATCCAGATTTTACAGACTCTAATATTATCAGTGATAGTGGTGAATCGGTAAGTAATTCACAGGTAATTTTTGATGATGGTAAGGATCGTAAAAGGAAATGATCGTCTGATATTAATCTTCTCTTATTACATATAATCTTTTTTTATTTATAGAATGATCCAACTAGTGCATTAACTGCATCATCTTATTCTCCATCTGATTTGAAACATTCACCGTGTGGATTTACATGGCTATTTGATAATTGTGAACTGAAAAGAAACGATACACCACCAACACCATCACCAATCCTCAATTCGTCGATCCAACAACTTTTTGAAGAAGCTCAACAGCTGGTTAACGAAAATCACCTCTTCCCGTTCAACTTGACAAGTCGACTACAAGCCTCCGCAATATTTAAATCATCCTCGACCATTGGTACCATCCCCCGTTCACTCGTACACTATGAACTTTCCGAATCAATATATGCCAACATTCGTAGTTTGCAAAGATCAATTCAACAAGAGCAACTGTACTCACCACCCAAAGGCAGCACCAGTATTGAAGAGTATACACTCAATAAATCCTCACAAGCATTTACACATTCCATGGTCGTCCTTTGATTCAATCAATTCATTCTGAAATTCATTTAATTGCTACCTCTGTATCTTTATTTATGGGTCCATTCTTTTCTGCCCATGATTCAGTTCAATTAGATTAGGATGTAACATCTTGGATATATAAACAGCAAAACGAAGTGAATCCAAACAAATTACGACCTGACATTGCTCTAAATATCGAAGGCGAAAATGGTGTGATTGAAATTGGATGTGGTGAGGTGAAGAAAGACGATGCTGACTACTATCACAAAGAAGAAGCAAAAATTCGTGTCCTGGAGATTATGAAATGGCAATTACATTTACGATTAAAATTAGCCAAGAAAGAATACCAAGGTGTCACGTTTGGCTTTGTATTTATTGGTATGAACAGTGTGTGGTGTAATGCATGATTTTGATTTTGATTTTCATATTAAAATTTAATACCCTATTTTTATATGCAGGTACAAAAGTTACATTATTAGAGATGAAGTTGGCTTTGGAGCATGGGGCGTATATTTTTGAAGAATACCTATGTTTTACATTACCTACAACGTACAACACACACACTCACTTACAAACATCCATAGAACTCATGTTATCCTTCAAAGTATGTATATTTATCAATGTTACTGTTATTGTTGTTGGCTTTAGGTTTTGTGTATATTTGTGAACGGTTGTTTAACGAGTATCCTGCTTTTTTCTAGAATCGGATTTTGGATTCTTTGTTGAAAGCTGAGCATGAGAAAGATAATGATGATGTTTGGCGTCAACATCGAGACTTTGTTCGACCGACAGCAGCTGCATTTGAACCATTATATGATGAAGACTAGTCGATAATGTTTATTTGTTGTACATTATTATCTTATATTGTGTACCCTTTTTTTTTGATACATGATCTTAAACACACACACAACATATAAAATTTTCTTGCTCCTTTGTTACTATGTTCAAAATCGAGTTACTTTTATCTCGATTATCTTGTACTTTCGTCAAGGTACACCAACTCCAACACACTCATAACAGCACTGTTTGCTGTCCTTTCTCTTCTTTCCTATTGGGGACCGGCCATGGTTATGATGATTTTAATGCGATCTAGTAACCCTAGATGACTTATTAGCTAAGATATATCAGGATAGCCAAATTAATTTTTATTGAAATAATTCATGCATGAATGTCTTAGTATGCATATATTTAAATTTTTGAAAAAAATAAAAATTGAATTAATTTTTTAATATAAAAATAACACCACAGAATATAAAGCAAAATATATTTGTTATATTTTTTTAGCACTCCAACAAAACTACCCCAACGAAAACACAATATGGACCAAATGAACCTCCTCGAATTTATTCCTATTTTAGGAATAACATTGACGCTCTTAATAAAAAGAGCAAAGCATCTTGCTGAACATCATCAAGATGTTAGTGAAAAAACAATTGCTGACCAACTAAGGGTCGAACTCGAAAAGGACCTCAAAAAGGCTAACATAACAAAGGAAGTAAGGGACGAGAACCATACTGCAATAATGGGATGGATTAGGGCTTTTGCAAAATTCCTCAAATCCTCAAATCCTCAATTTTCCGATGCAATGTTAGAGGGTAACACCTCTGGTGCAGATTCCTTGCAGGGCGGCAAAGAATTCCGATTCCAAAACACTAAAGGGCTGTTCACATATATTTGTAAGGACTTCCATTTAACAAAAGAACAAATCATGGAATGGTTTATAAAACATGAACGTATTGGTTATCGAATTGAAAAGGCAATTGTATGTGATGAAATTGCACCAGAAACTGGTGAGAAACATGTTCATATATGGATACAAATGAATGAGCGGTTCGACACAAAAACAGCACATAAATTCTTTACTATCGATGGTGTTACTCAAAATATTAAACCAGGTGGTAATCCACAAAAGTCCATTAGCTCCTGTATGAAAGGAAAAGATTATATTTGCTATAATATGGATCCAAATTATGAAGTTAAGACCAGAAAAATGCACCGACAGTTACTTGGATATCAACTAATTACGAAGCAGCTTAATATGCAGAAGGCTACCGAAATATATCCAGAATTGCTATGGAAATATGATACTGTAGAATCAAATTTAAATTCTTACTTTCATGATGCCGATATGGAAAATAACCCTGGAAATAAATTACATATGTGGTCTATGTTTGGTATTGAAACAATGTTTGGTGGTAAAAATAAGATACCACAATACTGGATTGTAGGTCCATCAAATGTAGGTAAGATATATAACATTGATGTATTAGAACAAGGTGGCCATCGAGCCTATCTAATGAATAAAGAAAATGATTGGTCAGATTATAAGGATGATGATTATGATTTTATGTATAATGAAGAAACAGGTTCTGATTTCAAATTAACATTTTTAAACCAAATGTTAGAAGGAACACGGTTAAAACTTAATGGCAAATTCACAAAGTCAATAACTAAAAAGAAAAATATGCTAATAATACTGAATAGTAACTATATGCCGCACATGTTATACAAAAACAAATCAGTATATGAGTTAGAGCCAACGCTCAATCGTTTATATATTATCTATGTTGATAAGAACCGTAAAGGTCATATAATATGGAATCCATACACAAAGAAGGTGAAGGATTATGAAAATAAATTCATGTATTATGAAAACATGGATATGTATGAGGACTTATACAAAGGTGAATTCGAAAACGAATACCAAGATCAGCATACATTTATCCGTTATGCGCATAATAGTGGTCAGGATGATATTGAGAAATATACACCGATGGATAAAACAGTAGAGGAACTACAAGAATTAGCTGACACAGAAGAATATATGAAGGAACAAGAAGAAAAACATAATAGTAATAATACACAGAACAATAAACAGCATAAACCGCCTCAACAAAATAATAGAGGATGGTCAACTGTAAAGGTACCATCATCAGTAGATTGTAGGCATTGGGAAGATGTGTTTAATGATATAAAATGTGATGATGTTGTAAATGATACTACTGATTGGGAAAACCCACCAGAAGATATAGAGAAACATAAATACATAGATGTAAGTACATCTGAATCAGAGAAAAGCAGTGACTGCAACATACCAAGTAATATACCAAAACGTAAAAAGAAAAAAAGACACATTAAAAATAAATGGAGAAATAAGCAAATAGTAGAAGAAATACAGCCAAAAGAATATTTTAAAAAGCATAAGGATATAAAACAGGCTATAATAGATGATATAGATATAACAAAAGAAACTGACGTCAAAAATAAATCAACAGATACTAATATAAGTACAAGTATAACTAATGAATGCATAAAACATAAATATAATTGGGCAAGTAAACGAAAAGTTGATACAGTCAGTTTCAATATGAATTTTTTTAATAAGCAAATAAGTAAGAAATTAATTTAGAGCTGGATACCATGTGTGGCCATATATTCATGTAGCATTTCCCAGGAATTAAACTTATCAACTGTTAACCAACTATTATTCTTTACACTATATCCAACCCACTTAACCTCAAATATGTACTTATTATCAGTATACACATGTCCTACAATCTTCTCAATTTCATATGAATTACTATGTTCTATATTTCTCTGTTCTCTTTGATTTTTTCTCTTGCGTTTAGATGTATTATTTTCAGTTTCGTCTTCACTATCTATAGCCATATCTATTGATTGGTTAATGTTAAGCTGTAGAAATTTCTGCTGCATGTCAACTATTTCATTATATTCAGTATTTACTTTTTGCTCATTTGAAAATACTAAGTCAAGTTTGTTTTTCTTACTTGGGAATTCAAAATCTTTTCTATACCATAATTTATGATGTGGTTTTACCTCTATATTATACTTATTTACAAATCGCCATATATTAGTAAGAATACAAGCAACACGAAACTGAATATTATAATATCTTAAATCAGTTATTTGCAATGCTGCACGATTATTATTAAATCGTTCAAATTTAGAGCCTAACATAGAGAACTGTGCTTCTATTGCTGAACGAAATGATCCAAACTTGTTATTAAAGTATGTCTCATTAATTGTTAACTTTTGTCCTGGTTCTTTTCTTATGGGATGTAAAAAATTACGGTCATAAAAACTATATCCAGCATCTGTCGCATTATCTTTAAACTTTTGTATAAATAAGTTATATCCACCATCCATTCCTAAACAATCTGCCTCACTTATTTTTTTATATAGTTTCATATTAATAAACATAGTACCATCATTTCTGATAGCACATTTTTCAGATACTGAAACATGTGTAATTATTTCATTCATATCCTGTATAACTTGTGTACGTACAGCTGGCCCTTTTAATTTATATGAATATAATTGTGAATGTGACTCATTTGGTTTATAATACTTTATTTTACTATCATGTCCATCAATAAATAGTGTAACATTCTTAAAACCATCTGGATTGTTTATTATTGCTAATAGAATGCGAATACGTGGTGATGAGAACATACTATCTAGATCTTGTTTTACCTTTTAATTCAATTCATTACTGTATAGTTAGTAATCTAGAACCGCTTATATAAATCATAAAATGTTGCATATTGCATATCAGTATGCATATCCTTTCCTGATACACCTGATACCATATGATATAATAATGCAAGTCCTTTTTCAATCTTGCGGTATGGCCCTAGATATTCAATATTTCCATATAAAACTGTAAGAAAATAAAATACAGGTATAAATCCAAATCTATTAAGTAATACATCCTTTATATCATTTATTGTATTATCCTTCATATCTTTAATAGCTGTTCTATGATTAAATCTATGTTGCATTTCAGGCCAAGATTTATCAAGAAAAGTCCATTTATTATCAATTAAATTTTTAATTTCAATATCGAGTTGTTCAGTGTGTTGTATTGTGTTCATTTTTATTTATTATTATGTACTTTAAACAATCGCTCTTTTTTTTTCTCGTGGGAGGCTACCAATATTAGTAAAAAAATTCAATTTTTATTATTTTTATTGTAAATCAATAATTAATTCGTCCACTAATGGTTATACCAATCATAGCAATTTTATTATCTATATTACAGCTAGTAGATTATAATTAGTTAGACAACTAATAGCAGGACGCCATATCACTAACAAATTGGGTACGTATTCCATTCTTCTTAAATTTATAAGAATACATTCTTTAAAAGTGGCCAATTTCAGTATCTACATAGTTAATTCTTGAATCATAGCCATCCAATACAAGTGTTACATGTTTAAATAAGTCGGGATTATGCTTTCTAGCAGATAGAATACGTAATTTGATAGATGAAAACATGTTATTCATTGAATCATTTACTATTTTGTTGATTCATTTGTAGTTGTCCTCATCCATCTTAAACTTTTTATAAAATGTATGAAATATGCTATGTGGTAAGTAATTTTCAAATTGTTCACTACATACTCCAGAGACTGAATGATATAATAAAAACAATCCTTTTTCAATTTCAAAGTAAGGTCCGGGATATTCCTTGTTTGTATATAAAACTACTAGAAAATAAAATACAGCAACATAACCTAATTTACATAACAATTCATCCTTACTTTTATCTATGAATTTAATATGTCCCAAATCAGTTCTATG